CAGCAGCAGCAGCAGCAGCAGAAGCAGCAGCAGCAGCAGCAGCAGCAGTAGAAGCAGCAAATTGACTTGTCCTTTTATTTTATTTGAAATATTTTTGTTTTCTCCTTTAAATCTTTTCCTTCTCTTCTTTCTCTCTATCCTAACTCATTTAATTTTGTTTTTTTGTTTTTTTTCTTTTTCTTTTTTTCCTTCTTTTTCTGTTTTTTGTTTCTTGTCCTTTTTAGTTTTCCTTTTATTGTTTCCAGGGTTTTATTTTATTTGTTTTGAGCTCTCCTGCTCTTTCTAGGGTTTAGGGTTTAGGGTTTAGGGTTTGTGGCGCCTCCGCAGGGTCCAGAAGAGACACCAAAGCAACTCTGCGATGGCTGGAAGCCTCCCACCCCGGATGCCGTGAGGGTTTAGGGTTTAGGGTTTAGGGTTTAGGGTTTAGGGTTTAGGGTTTAGGGCTTAGGGTTTAGGGTTTAGGGTCTGTGGCTTGTTCGTTTATTGCTCCTTTGGGGCTCCCTTTTAGAGTTTCTTGAACAGCAAAATAAAGTATAAATAAAATGAATATCCATATAACAAATAAAACAAATAAACTATTTATTTATTTATTTATTTATTTATTTATTTATTTATTATTTATTTATTTATTTATTTATTTCTTGCTGCTGCAGGTTGAGCTGCTGCACGAGAACCTGAGGCGGCTGGAGCGCGAGTTCAATGTGCTGCCCAGCAGCAGCAGCAGCAGCAGCAGCAGCAGCAGCAGCAGCAGCAAGAGGGCCTTCATTGAAAAGGCAGCAGCAGCAGCAAAAGAAACAGAAATTAGAATTAGAGGAGCTTCTTGGGGAGACTCTTTTGATCTTCTCCTCAGCAGCCTTCCGGGAGACTCCGAATTTAAAAGAGAACTCAAAAAGCAACGTAAACCCTAAACCCTAAACCCTAAACCCTAAACCCTAAACCCTAAGGAGCTTCAGCGTTGGGCCTGAAGCCTGCGGCATCGCCCCTGACCGTAAACCCTAATTGCGAGACCCTAAGCCCCCCGAACCCTAAACCCTTGACCCCCTAAGCCCTAGACCTAAACCCTAAACCCTAAACCCTAAACCCTAAACCCTAATTTTGTGTTTTGCGTTTAGTGCTGGAGATGAACAAGATCGAGGCGGAGCTTTTGCGGCTTTCTGAGGTGTACGTACAGTCGCAGGGGGACTTTGGAAAAAGACAGCAGCAGCAGCAGCAGCAGCAGCAGCGGCGCAAAGACAAAGCAGCAGCAGCAGCAGCAGCAACAGCAGCAGCAGCAGCGCTGCAGCAACTCGCCAAAGCAGCTTTTCTGGGCCTCAAAAGAATTAAAAGCTTTATTAGCTGCTGCAACAAAAACAAAGACAGCAGCAGCAGCAGCAGAAAGGGCTGGGGTTTAGAAAAAGAACAAATCGGAAAAGAATTTAATCCAAACCTCGCCAAAAAAACCCTCAAAATCCTCCGAAAAGGTACGCAAACCCTAAACCCTAAACCCTAAACCCTAAACCCTAAAATCGCCCTCGAAGGCCTACGAAAAGCTCCGCAAATCCGAAGCTTTAAACCCTAAAAGATCCCTCAAAATCCTACCAAAAGGCCCCAAGACCCTAAACCCTAAACCCTAAACCCTAGGGTCTGCGGCTCCCAAACGCATGCAAAAGGGTCTACAAACTCTGAGGCCCTCGAAGCCCTCCGAAACACAAACCCTAAACCCTAAACCCTAAACCCTGAGTGGTCAGAGGCAATTCGTTGAAAATCCGCAAATAAATGCGGGAGCTCCCAATGCGAGGATCTAGGGTTTAGGGTTTAGGGTTTAGAGTTTAGGGTTTAGGGTTTGCTTTTTTGTGGCCACAGCTGAGGGACGCAAAAAGGCTGAAAATAGGAAGCGGCTCTTAGACAAATTAAGGGTAGGGTTTAGGGTTTAGGGTTTAGGGTTTAGGGTTTGGGAACCAAGATCTCAGAGCTAGGGCTTAACGCAGAGAAACTAGGGTTTGGGGTTTAGGGTTTAGGGTTTAGGGTACACGATGTACTTTGATTTTCAGGAGTGTATTACCGGCAACGTCAAAACTTTCCAAGGTAAGTCCTCAAACCCTAAACCCTAATCCCCAAACCCTAAACCCTAAACCCTAAAGCCTCGTAAGGTCTATTTTGTTTTTTTCTTGCAGATATGCAACAAGGAAACCCTTTGATTTATCCAACGCCGAACGGTGCATTTTTAGGGTTTAGGGTTTAGGGTTTAGGGTTTAGGGTTTGGGTCCAAGGCACAGTTTGCTGGTAATATGAAGTGGGGTTCGCCTTCCTTCGAACGCCGTCTTGTCTGTAGGGTTTAGGGTTTAGGGTTTAGGGTTTAGGGTCTAGGGTTTTGCAGATAACAGAGAGTACATTCCAGGGGTTCGAAAACCGCTGACACTCTGCCGCTTTCTCCGTCCAAAAGCTAGGGTTTAGGGTTTAGGGTTTAGGGTTTAGATTTCATATTTTGGGGTTTAGGGTTTAATCCAAGCGCCGCTCAGTTTGCAGCTGAAGGCTTAATGACTGAAGGGGTTCCCGGGCCCGAAACCTAGGGTTTAGGGTTTAGGGTTTAGGGTTTAGGGTTTAGGGTTTAGGGTTTGTTTGGTGTTCAGATTTTTTCAAGGCTTCTTCTTGTTTGTTTCACCGGCAGTTTTTGGCGCTGCGGCTAAAAGATAGAGAAGAGGTTTTGTCTCTTTCTCTAAACCCTAATATCTCTTTCCAAAACCCTAAAACCCTAAACCCTAAACCCTCGCTCGTCGAAATTAGAAAACACCAAGAATCCAAACCCCTGCAGATGGACGAGCTGGTCGAGTTTGCCCTGAGACGAAGAGGTCCGTAAACCCTAAACCCTAAACCCTAAACCCTAAACCCTCGCATTTGACTTTGATTTCTAGCTTTCCAGTCCTAGACCGTAGTCGCTATGTGGCTCCCCGAAACCTCAAACCCTAAACCCTAAACCCTAAACCCTAGATTTTCGAGGGTGAACCCTTAGCTCACTCCCTTGCGCCGTAAACCCTAAACCCTAAACCCTAAACCCTAAACCCTAAACCCTGGGGTGTTTTGCATGCATGCGGATTTAGTGTCTCTGGACGAAGTGGCGGCGTACTTGGAAGTGATAAAGGGTTTGGACTTGTCTGCTGCTGCTGCTGCTGCTGCTGCTGCTGCTGGTCCTGCTGCTCGGGAGCAGCAGCTAGCGGAGCTGGCGCGGGGGTTTGCTGAATTGGAGCAGCAGGAAGCCGAAAAGGCAGCAGAAAAAGAGGAAAAAAAGGAGAAAAAAGAAGAAAAGAAGAAAGAAAAAAGAAAAGAGTCAAAAGGGGAGAAAAAAGGAGAAAAAGAAATGCAAAAAACAAAAAAAGAAATTCAAAAAACGCCGCAAAACCACCAACTGCAGCTCTTCGCTGTACGTACACTCCAAGCTGCAGCGCTCCCGCCCCACCAAATGGCCTGGGCTCTTTACGCGGGTAAAATTTATTTATTTTTTTTTTATTTTTAATTCTTTTTAGTTTTTTAATTCATTTTTAATCCATTTTAATTATTTCTTTAGCCAATTTGAGCCTTTTAACTCAGCAAAGGCTCTGGAAAAGTTAACTGGAATTTGTAATTAGCAATTAATTCAAAAATTGAAAAAAATTGCCACAAGTGGCTTATTCTAATTAATTAATTAATTAATTAATTAATTAATTAATTAATTAATTAATTAGAATACGCCACTTGTCGCTGGGTAGCTGCTTTTGTTCGTTCTTTTTTAATTAAATTAAATTAAATTAAATTAAATTTGATTTGATTAATTTTATTTTATGAATTTCATTTGATTTTCTTTGATTTCATTTAATTTCATTTTCGTTTTGCTGCTGAATCATGCTGTTTGTTATTATCCCTGTGTCTCCTTTAATTCTTGCGGGTTTAGGGTTTAGGGTTTAGGGTTTAGGGTTTAGGGTTTACTTGGTAAATGCAAGCCCTAAACCCTAAACCCTTAATTGCGTTTTTCTATTCTTAGTTCACTTGTCTTTTGCTGCTCAGGCATACGGGAGTCGCTAGTCCACGCAGTATCTGCTGCTGCTGCTGCTGCTGCTGCTCCTGCTGCTGCTGCTGCTGCTCCTGCTGCTGCTGCTGCTGCTCCTGCTGCTGCTGCTGCTGCTGCTCTGGCGGCTCGTGCTGCTGCTCTTTGCCTGTCTCCTGCGATGCTGCTGAAGCTGCAGCAAGCAGCAGCAGCAGATCCTTTTTTTGAAAACAAAAAAGAGGAAACAGCAGCAGCAATGGAGCAGGCAATGAAAGAAGGTAAAAACAATTTTAAAAAATAACTTTTGCAAAAAAGAAATTCAAAAAAGAAATACTTTCAAGTCCCTTTTTCTTTCCCTTTCTTTCTCCTTGTTTGTCTCCATTTTATTTTTTTTTGACTTTTTTTTGAAATATTTTAAATATTTTTGGAATTTTTTTATCTTTTTATTTCTCTCTTTTTGTCTTTTTATTTGTCTCCTTTTGTCTTTCCATTCATCTCTTTTTGTCTTTTTAATTATCTCCTCAATTCTTTTTTTTGGTTTTCTTTATTCCTTTTTCTGGTTTCTTTTTTCATTTTATTTGTCCCTTTTTGTCTCCTTTTTGTTTCCTTTTGTCTATTCATTTATCTCCTTTTATTTTATTTTATTTTATTTTATTTTATTTTATTTTATTTTATTTTATTTTATTTTATTTCATTTTATTTTATTTTTATTTTTCATTTTTATTTTCTATTTTTCTTTTCAGCAAAGGCTGTTTCCAAAGAAGAAAGGAAAAAATGCAAAGCCAACAATTTGCTGCTCAAAAGACTCAAACCTGCCAGTAAGCAGCAGCAGCAACAGCAGCAGCAGCAGCAGCAGCAGCAGCAGCAGTAGCAGCAGCAGTAGCATCGACATCAGCAGCAGCATTAGCATCAGTAGCAGCAGCAGCAGTAGCAGCCACAGCATTGCAGCAGCAGCAGCAGCAGCATTGCAGCAGCAGCAGTAGCAGCAGCAGCAGTAGCAGCCACAGCGTTGCAGCAGCATTGCAGCAGCAGCCGCATTGCAGCAGTAGCAGCTGCAGCACTGCAGCACTGCAACAGTAGCAGCAGCAACACTGCAGCAGCAACGGCATTGCAGCAGCAGTAGCTGCAGCGGCGTTGCAGCAGCAGCAGTAGCAGCAGCAATAGCAGCAGCAGCAGGTTGTTGTTGATGCCTGAGCGCTGCGCCGTGCCTATCCCTTGAAGGTGTTAGGGTTTAGGGTTTAGGGTTTAGGGTTTAGGGTTTATGGGTTTCGTTTGTGCAGTTCTGCAAGCACTGGCAGCTGCTGCGGCACTGGGCGGCGAGGGTTTAGGGTTTAGGGTTTCTGTTAAACCCCGAAAGCAGCAGCAGCAGCAGCAGCAGCAGCAGCAGCAGCTGCAGCGGCAGCAGCAGCAGCTGCAGCAGCAAGCAGCAAAAAGAATTGTTCGCCAAACCCTAAAGTGCATGCACAAAGAAACAGCTGATTTGCTGCTGCGTCTTTTGACGCAAAACAATTATATCCACATGGAAGAACTAATTCGAAAAGAATGTAAACCCTAAACCCTAAACCCTAAACCCTAAACCCCAAACCCTAAACCCTAGAAATTAAGGATCCCTAGTAAACGAACAGCCAGTTTGCTGCTGCGTCTTTCGTTTATGTCCCAATTGCAAACACTTGGCAGCCCTAAATCCTAAACCCTAAACCCTAAACCCTAAACCCTAAACCCTAGCAAACCCTAGGCCCTCCAAAGCCGCTAAACCCTAAACCCTTTCAGCGACGGCGCATCACCGCGGAACATCTGACAAAAATAAATAAATAAATAAAAACATTTAATATTTATTTATTTATTTATTAATTTATTTATTACTTATTTATTTAATATTTATTATTTAATATTTATTTATTTATTTATTTATTTATTTATTTATTTATTTATTTGTTTGTCATTTGCTTTTGCTTTGCAGACCAAAGACAAGTGGCTTCTCGGGTGTCTGTACAGCCTGCTTCGCAAAAAGGAATTATTTTCAGTTTTCAATTTTTGTCTTTAATTCAAAAAGAAAAAGAAAAAGAAAAAGAAAAAGAAAAAAAGACAAAAGGTGGAAAACAGTTCATTGGTTCTTCTTTTGTTTTTCTTTTTTGCCTTTTTCTTTTTAGTTCTTTAATTTCTTTTCTTTTGTTTATTTTTTGTTTTTCGTTTTTTAATTTCTTTTTTCTTTCTCTTGTTTCTTTTATTTAAATGTTTATTCCTTTTGATTTTTGTTTTTTCTTTTCTTTATTTCTTTTTTTTCAATTTGTTCTTTATTCCTCTTTTGTTTATTTGTTCACTTTATTTCTTTTTGTGTTTGTTTCTTTTGTTTATTTGTTCATTTTGTCTTTATTATTTGGTTTTTATTTTGGTTTTTTATTTTTTTTCACTTTTCACTTGTCGTTTAACTCCTCATTTTGCTTTTATTATTTGTTACTTATTTACATGCTTATTTGTTTACATTTAATTAATTAATTAATTAATTAATTAATTTATTTACTTATTATTTTTTATTTTACTATTATTTTATTTTTACTGTCAGCGGCTTGCCATCTTTTCACATCTCCTTTATTTCTTTATTACTTATTCTTTATTATTTTTATTGTTACTTACTTATTCTGTACTTATTATTTATTAACATTTAATTAATTAATTAATTAATTAATTAATTAATTAATTAATTAATTAATTAATTAATTTAGTATTCGCCATTCCCACTTACACGGTGTATGTACACCTCAGCACGCGCATGCACGTGGTGACGAAGCATTTATTTTGAATTCATTTTTTGCGGAATTTGATTTTAATTTTTGGACTTTTGAAATTAAATTAAATACCTTTTTGAGTATATCTTCTTGTTTTAATTTGATTTTATTTTTTGGATTTTTGAAATTAAATTAAATACCTTTCCGAGTATATCTTTTTTGTTTTGCAATTTGTTGAAGATTCTCTCATTTTCTGTTTTCAATTTTTTATTTTTGCAAATTTTGCCAAGTCGAGAATGCATTTGGAGTTGCATAAATTCTTTTTCTTTTGGTGCTCCACTCTGCAACTAATTTGCCTTTTTCTCTTCAATTTCGGGCTAGGGTTTAGGGTTTAGGGTTTAGGGTTTAGGGTTTAGGGTTTAGGGTTTGTGGTTTGCGGCGCAGCTGCCGCGTCTCTGGTGCTGCGGGACTTGTCGGACGTTGCTGCTGCTTGTCTTGCTGCTGAGCGGCAGCAGTTTGTTACTGCTGCTGCTGTGCTGCTGCTGCTGCAGCTGCTGCTGCCAGGAGAGACACAAAAGGAGAAAACAGCAGCAGCAAAAAGAGAAAAACAAAATATCATTTTAAATCTTTTCGGCAGCAAAACTCCTTTGCTGCAGTGGCTGCTGGGGGGCCCCGGGGCCTTTGCAGTGCAGCGCTACGGGGGCCCCTCGCTGCAGCAGCAGCTGCAGCAGCACTTGCAGCAGCTGCAGCAGCAGCTGCAGCAGCAGCAGCAGCAGCAGGAAGGCGCAGCAGCAGCGGGGAAGAAGACACGCAAGAGACGGGGAAAAAAGACGAAGGAAATGAAAGAAATAAAAAAAGAAATTGAAATTACAAAAGCTCTTTTGAAAAATCCCGAAAATATTCCTTTTGAACTTGAAAAACATTTTGCTGCTGAGGAGTTCTACAGTCTATACACCCGAGACGACGCAGCAGTGCGAGCAGCAGCAGCAGCAGCAGCAGCAGCAGCAGCCGACGCAGCAGCAGCAGCAGCAACAAAAGACGCTCTAGAGCGAGCAGCAGCGCATGCAGAGACTTTCAGGGCCTGCAGCAAAAAGGGGCAGCAGCAGCTGCTGCTGCTGCAGCAGTGGCTCGGCGATGCAGCAGCAGCAGCAGATTTGCTGCTTCTGGAAGCAGAAAAAGATAAAAAAATCCACAAAGACACAAAACAGCTGATCTGGAGAATCGTTAAAGGTGCAAACCCTAAACCCTAAACCCTAAACCCTAAACCCTCAGGGCTGCGCCATAAACCCTTGCTTCTGATCTCTAAACCCTTGGCTTTGGCGCCCTGAAGCCTTGATTCCAAACCCTAAACCCTTTTCAGTAAACCCCAAACCCTAAACCCTCGACTTCCAACACTAAACCCTAAACCCTAATTTTGGTTTCCTGCTGTACTGTTGCTGCGGCTTAGCGAGATACGAAAAGGGGAAGGGAGACACTTTGAATAAGGTAAACCAAACCCTAAACCCTAAACCCTAAACCCTAAACCCTAAACCCTAAAAAAGCCCACATTTCCCTGCTTCCCTGTTTCCAAAACCCTAATGAGAGCCTCTAAGCTCTCCTCGGAAACCCTAAACCCTAAACCCTAGTCCAGGCTTTGAACCTTAAACCCTAGCTGCAAGCGCTAAACCCCTGAACTCTACTAAACCCTAAACCCTAAACCCTTATTTTGAAGGCCTGGTCACCCGAGGCCGCTGGTCAAAACCCTAGGCCCTGAACCTTCAACTCTAAACCCTAAACCCTAAACCCTAAACCCTTTTTGCGCGCAGCTTGCCAAAAAACTCTACCGGTTTTCTGTAGGGTTTAGAGAAACAAAATCTGAAAAAAGAAAAGAAGAATTAACTGCTGCTGCTGCTGCTGCATGCAAAAGCTTCAAAGCCCCGCCGCCTTCTGTTGAGGACTTGTTTGTGGGCAACTACGAGCTCTACGAGAGAGTGCTTTCGCAGTGTGCGCAAACCCTAAACCCTAAACCCTAAACCCTAAACCCTAAACCCTAAACCCTAATTCCGAGGGGCTGCGGGCGGTTTCTGCAGACGAAAAGGAGAAGGCGGCAGAGCAGCAGCACAAGGACTACTTCGAAACCCTTGTGGACGTTGGTGAGCCTCCAAACCCTAAATCTTAAACCCTAAGCCGTGATCACTAAACCCTAAACCCTAATTTGGGGTTTTTTCTCGCCTGCGATGTTCGCGCAGCCATCGAAAAAGTGCAGCCCTTCGATGCAGCAAAAGCTACAAGTGAGTTTGGGCCTTACTGCTGCTTCGCTTGCTGCTGCGCATATTCACTTATCTAGGGTTTAGGGTTTAGGGTTTAGGGTTTGAGGTTTCTTTTGGTCCTGCGGGCCCTACGCGTCACTTAGTTTCCAGCGTGTTCAGCCAAAGCAGCAGCAGCTGCGTTTAGGGTTTAGGGTTTAGGGTTTAGGGTTTGCATGATCTGCAGCTGCACTGGAGCAGCTCATGAAGAGAGCCCGCTTGGGGGTTTCGAAGGAAGGCAAACGGCACCTCAAAACCCTAAAGATGATGCCCCAAACCCTAAACCCTAAACCCTGGAGAGAAGCGGCGCTGCAAACCCCCGGAGTGAAGGCGGAAAAGAAAATTAAAAAGTACCGTTCTGTGGCAGTTGCTGACTGAGGTAAAAGTAATTTATATATTTCCCATTATTTATTTAATTATTATTATTTGTTATTTATTGTTGTTTATTATTTATTATTTCTCTTTTATTCATCTTTTGTCGATTTGTTCGCCGCCGGCTTGGCTGGAAGGAGCCGCTGTAGGTTCGGCTGTACGTACACCCGAAATGCAAGTACTCACGAGGCTTTGTTAGGGGCGCGCATGCAAAGAAACTTGAAAAGAAATAATTAATAATTAATAATAATTAATAAATTAGAAATTAAATGTTTTTAGTTCCGTTTTTTTCAAATGAAATGAAGAAGAAAACAAGTCGAGCCGTCGCGCCGCTGCGGTGTCTAGACACCCGCTCCAGGTGTATGCGCAGGTCTTCCTGCGGCTCTTCGAAAGGGAAATCGACTCAAAAAAGAAAAATAAGAATTTAAAAACATTTTATTTTCAAATAGTAATGCATTTGCGTTGCAAAAAAGGAACTTAATTGCATTCATTTGCTGCGGCCCAAGAGGCCAGTGCCTCTTCGGGTTCAGGTGTATGTACACCGCAAACCCTCGGCAACCAAAAACGAGGGTTTAGGGTTTAGGGTTTTGAGTCTGTTGAGGCGGAGGAATGCAAAGCAGCTGTTGAGTTGTTATTCTGAATTATTCTTATTTGAGAAATAAAACAAAAAATTAAATTTAAAAATGCAAAAGTGCTGCTAAAAAGGTGCAAAATAAATGCCAGTTAGATTCTTAAAAATGCAAAATACACTTTTGAATAGTTGCGAAATAAACCACCAAAAGATTCCAAAAACCTTCTGAATAAACTTTTAAAAAGATCCGGAAAAGACTCTATAAATAAACTTTTAAAAAAAACTTTTTAGAATCTTTTCAATATTCCAAAAAGGTTGTGAAAAGATTCCAATTAAGCTCTTAAACAACCTTTAAAAGACTACAAATAAACTTCAAAAAAGATTCCAAAAACACTTTCAATAAACTTTAAAAAGACTTTAAATACACTTTCAAAAAGATTTTAAAAACACTTTTAATAAACTTTAAAAATGATTCTGAAAAGTTGAAAGCGCTTTGAGGTGTACGTACACCGCAGTGGGCCCACAGCCCAAAACTAAATTAAAAGTTAATTTTAAAAAATGCATTTTTAATTTTTTAAAATAAAAAATGCATTTTTATTTTTTAAAATAAAAAATGCATTTTTTATTTTTTAAAATAAAACTTCACAAATTCATTTGCTGCTCATCTTCGCGGGCAACTCCACGCGAAGCCAAACCAATGCATGCAGTTAACAGCAGCAGCAGCAGCAGCAGCAGCTGCTGCTGCTGCTGCTGCGCTGCTGCTGCTGCGCTGCTTGTGCTACGCCGCTGCTGCTGCTGCGCTGCTTGCGCTACGCTGCTGCTGCTGCCGCTGCTGCGCTGCTTGTGCTACGCTGCAGCAGCTGCTGCTGCTCCGCTGCTGCTGCTGCGCTGCTGCTGCTGCTGCTGCTGCTGCTATCTGCATGCATTTGCGAGGCGCCGAAGTGTAGTGTGTGTTGGGGTGTACATACACCTCAAAACAGCTCCTTTGGCGTTAATTGCGGATTTACAAAAAACACTTTTTGCTTTTTGCTGCTGCTGCTGCTGCGCTGCTGCTGCTGCTGTTGCTGTTGCTGCGGCCGTCGTGCTCCTGCTGCAGCGGCTTCTGTCGTGCTGCTGCTGCAGTTGCTGCTGGTGCGCTGCTGCTGCAGTTGCTGCGCTGCTGCTGCAGTTGCTGCGCTGCTGCTGCAGTTGCTGCCGCTGCTGCTGCGGCGCCGCTGCTGCCTTGATGCTGCTGCTTTTGCTGCTGCTGCTGCTGCTGCTGCTGCTGCTTCAGAGAAATGCCTTCACCAACTGCTGCGGTTTATGTACACCTTCCTCTAAACGAGGGGCCCCTCCAGGGGCCCCTCCAGGGGCCCCTGGGGGGGCCCCGGGGGCCCCCCGGGGGGCCCCCGGGGGGCCCCCAGGGGGCCCCCTCGAGGGTTTAGAATTAAAATGATTTAAAGAAAAAGAGCAGCAGCAGTTTTGTGGGTTGTGGGGCGAAGCTGAGGTGTACAGACAGCTCAGGGGGACAGAAAGGTGTTTGTTTTCGGGTTTGGTGGCTTCTTCTTTTGCCCCAAACCCTAAACCCTAAACCCTAAACCCTAAACCCTAGGTCCACTGAGCAGCCTTTGGAGGGTTCGGGGTTTAGCAGCGCCGCTTAGGGTTTATTAGAGTTAAAAGGGTTTACGGCTCAGGTGAGGGACTTTAGCTTTAGTCAGAGGGTTTAGGGTTTAGGGTTTAGGGTTTAGGGTTTAGGGTTTGCGTACAAGTCGACGGAGCGTTTTCTTTTCGATTTACTGCTGCGTCGACTTGGTCCCGAATGCGCACAAGCTGCTGCATTATCTGCTGCTGCTGTTGCTGCTGCTGTTGCTGCTGCTGCTGCTGTCTTTGCTGCTGCTGCTGTTGTTGCTGCTGCTGCTGTTGCTGCTGCTGTTGTTGCGGTTGTGGCTGCAGCTTTCACTGCTGCTGCTGCTGTGGCTCTGCTGCAGCAGCCGGGAAGCCCCGGCAGGCTGCGTTCAGCCTCTAGGGTTTAGGGTTTAGGGTTTAGGGTTTAGGGTTTTGGCCTCCCCAGGGTGTATAGAGGAGTAACCAGAGGCATTTCTCCGTATGCCTTTATTAAACTTTCTCCAAGAAGACAGTCGTAAGGGTTTAGGGTTTAGGGTTTAGGGTTTAGCGCCTAGGGTTTAGCGCCTAGGGTTTAGGGTTTAGGGTTTGCGGCGTCGAGACGGCGCACTATGGACTGTGCGAAGTCGCAGCAGCTTTTGTCTTTGCAAAAAAAACCAAAAAGATTAATTTAGTAAACCCTAAACCCTAAACCCTAAACCCTAAACCCTGCACACGGGAAACTGCGCATGCACTTTGGGGCTTTTGGCCGAGCCCAGCAAGAACTTTGATTTTGCCTCTAAACCCTAAACCCTGAACCCTAAACCCTAAACCCTAAACCCTAATCCGCAACCAACAAACCCTGAATTTCAGGAGTGTCGCTCTGTTTTTTGCTTCTCTCGGATTTGGTTGCTTTCAGACCCCAAGCCCTAAACCCTAAACCCTAAACCCTAAACCCTAAACCCTAAACCCTCGTTATGAGTTTTTACAAATCCCTCACAAGTTTTTTGTATTCGGTGCGTTGGTCTTGCTTGAACTGTACACCTCAAGTCTTGGCCCCTAAACCCTAAACCCTAAACCCTAAACCCTAAACCCTAAACCCTAACGAGTAAACCCTAGGGCCGCGTCGAGAGGCTCAAGGCCACCTTGCGAAAATGAGTAAAGAGGTGAGCCCCCCAGCTGCGCGTGAGCAAAACCCTAAACCCTAAACCCTAAACCCTAAACCCTAAACCCTCAGGCGTAGCCCCGGAAGAGGAGGGTCCCCAGGAAGCGTGCGTTCCCCTGTCTCGCCGCGGCGAGGGTTTAGGGTTTAGGGTTTAGGGTTTAGGGTTTGTGCGGCGCAGGAAGAAGAGGCCTCTTCCTCTTCTTCTGCTGCAGAAGACAGCAGCGGCAGCAGCAGCTCGGACTCCGAGTCGGGCGAGCAGCAGCAGCAGCAGCAGCAGCAGCAGCAGCAGCAGCAAAGAGAGAAAAAGAGTAAAAGCAAAAGCAAAAGAGCAGCAGAAAAAACAAAAAGCAAACGGCAGCAAGCGAGAGAAAGAGCAGCAAAACGCAGAAGGGGAGTCAGCGCTTTCCTCGATGTCGAGGCGCAGGTGAGGGTTTAGGGTTTAGGGTTTAGGGTTTAGGGTTTAGGGTTTAGGGTTTGGGGTGAGGCGCAGCAGGGCTTTGGGCGGCCTCGGGAGTGTTTTCGTTAGGGTTTAGGGTTTGCGCTGCGTCGACGGCGGTCTGCGCGGCCGGGCCCCCTAGGGTTTAGGGTTTAGGGTTTAGGGTTTAGGGTTTAGGGTTTAGGGTTTAGGGTTTGGCGCTAGGTTGGAGATGAAGAAGAAGAAGAAGAACTCGACGAATTCATAGACCCTAGCGAAGCCCGCGAGGCTTCGCGGTTAGCAGCAAAAGCAGCAGAAGCGCGGCGGCTGTCGCAGCAGCAGCAGCAGCAGCAGCAGCAGCAGCAGCAGCAGCAGCAGCAGTGGGGCCGCCGCGGCGGCTCCGCCCATCTCGTTTCTGCTATTGACTCTCTCACGAGAAGATATCAAGACCAATCTTTTGAAGAAGGAGAAGAAGACGAAGATGACTTCGACGACGCAGAGGCCCTCGACTGTGAGGGTTTAGGGTTTAGGGTTTAGGGTTTAGGGTTTAGGGTTGGGGGGCGGGGGGACACGGCAGGCAGGCAGCGACGCGGCAACGCTGCAGACTCGCGGGGAGGAGTTGGCACAGAGGGCTTAGGGTTTAGGGTTTTAGGGCTAGGGTTTAGGGTTTAGGGTTTAGGGTTTAGGGTTTAGGGTTTAGGGTTTAGGGTTTTCCGCAGATGACGAATCCGCTGAGGCCAACATCCTGCCGGACATGCGGGACCCCAAGTTGTGGATGGTTCGTTTGAATAAGGTAAACCCTAAACCCTAAACCCTAAACCCCACTTTCCTGACTTCGTGATGCGTGCAAACGAGGGTTTTAGAGCGAGCGCCGAGGGTTTATCGTCTAGGGTTTAGGGTTTAGGGTTTAGGGTTTAGGGTTTAGGGTTTGGGGTTTATTGCCTGCTGCGCGGGCTGGCGCGGAGGGGACCTGGGCTGGCCCTCTTGAAGGCCCCAGGGCTTCCAGCACAGGGTCTAGGGTTTAGGGTTTAGGGTTTAGGGTTTAGGGTTTAGGGTTTAGGGTTTAGGGTTTGGCGCAGAGCGGGACGGAGCGGCAAGAAGTAATTGCCATTTTAAATAAATGTTTTCTTCACGCCAAGCAAGGAGTGGATTTGCAAATTTATTCTGTCTTCGCCTCCGATGACACCAAAGGTAACTCTAAACCCTAAACCCTAAACCCTAAACCCTAAACCCTCGAACAGGTGGTTTGAGAATTTAGAACACACAGAAAACGCAGCACCAAAGCAGCAGCAGCAGCAGCAGCAGCTAAACCCCAGCTGCTGCAGAACGCTTATGAGGGTTTAGGCTTTTCTAGGGTTTTGCAGTGCTCACTGGGGCTTTCATAGGGTTTAGGGTTTAGGGTTTAGGGTTTACAATTTAGACCATATACCTACGCCTATGGGATACGCTTCAGAGTTTAGTTCTTCGGGTTTGATATTTAAGGGTTTAGGGTTTAGGGTTTAGGGTTTAGGGTTTAGGGTTTGAACAGACTACCTCTACGTGGAGGCCGAGAGCCAGTTCGCAGTCAAAGAAGCTCTTCGAGGGTTTAGGAATTAGGGTGGGGTTGGGTTGGGAGGGCGGTGGGGCTAGGCTTAGGGTTTAGGGTTTAGGGTTTAGGGTTTAGGGTTTAGGGTTTAGGGTTT